ATAATTTACGTATTTTAGTCATGTATTGGAGTAATTCTTTTCTTTTCATGTTTTGAAATGATATAGAATTAATTATATTTTTAAATTCATCATCATTTAAAATATAATATTTGACATATAAATCTCTTATGGTTCTACATAATCTATCAATGAGAGCTGTAGAAGTATGAATTTTTGTTGCTGTAACAAATAATTTAATGTTCTTAGAATTAATATAATCAGCAAAATCATTTGATGATATACCTCGTTCTCCATCAAATATTAAATTTGTCATTTTTAATCCTTGTTCAAATAATTCTTCAAACCCATTTATAATTGATGATGCAGTTTTATCTTTAATAGAAATAACATACCCATATCTTGTATTCACATTTATACCTATTAGGTATGGTTGTAATGGATTATTTTTATGAACTCTGTGATCAAAATTTATTTTTACAGATGGTTTATCATATTTTTGTTGAGTTACTCTCTTATCTTTATCAAAGAAATACAATATATCAAACATATAAGTATTTGATATTGCAACAAATTTATAAGCAAAATTTTTATTATAAAATGAATATTTGGGTGGAGATGGTTTAAAATTATTAGCATAAATTATATCTTTGTTATTGAAATAAGTATATATATTTTTAGCTAATGATGGAACATGTTGATTCATGTCTACATTAAATAATTGTTTTATTGTTCTATCTTTCTTAAAATAATTAGTTGGTGGATAAGTAGCTATGGAAGTAATTGTACCATGTGGTTGAATTGATGGTTGAGGTCTTAATTCAGCATTTAATTGAATTTCAGGCGAATATTTAATTTCTTTATCTTCTTTAACTTCTGGTTTAGGTGTATTTGTATCTTTTTTTTAACTTCATGTGCACCTGTAAGTACTTGCATTTTAGATATACTTGACTTTATACTTAGTGCATTATTAATGTATATATCATATATATCATCTAATAATTTTTGTGTTCTATTATTAGTGATATTAAAATAATTATAAATACTTGAATAAAAAATTTTTAAAATTCTTTTAGAACCATGATCAGGATTAATTCCATATAATCTATCTCTATTATTATATGCATATGTTACTTTATCTTTATAATTATTATAAAATTTAGTTAATTCTTGTTCTTTATTTAAAGACATTTAAAATTATTAAAACGAACCCAATTCAGTATTAAATTTAATATTTCTACAGAATTGAGATCTCGATTTAATTATAAAATCTTTAGTAAATTCAAATGATGGTCTAAGTTGTAAAAGATTAAAATTAAACGATTCTCCATCATATAGTTTCTTATATAATTTTAATGGATCATCATATTGACAATTTAATAAATTATTAGGAATACCTTTTAATCTAAGATGATATTCTATTTCATTATTTTCATTAGTTAATTTATCACAATAAGCCTTTTTACCCAAGAAATAAGATTCAATACTAGTAACATAACCAGTTAATTCATCAAAATCTGGATGAAATTGACCAATATTAGAACCTCTAAGTACTCTATTATATTTATTAAAATATTCATTTTCTAATTCACTAAGTATTGATTTTAAAATATGCATTGAATCAGTATCTTGATAATAAATTGGAATATTTAAATCTTCTGCTAAACACATAACTTCATTCATAATTCGTTTTGACATAGTAAGAGTTTGAACGCCAATAAGATTTGGAACAAAGAAATCATCAAAACTTTTATTACATTCAAAGCATCTTATATTTTCAGCAACATCATAAAATGATTTAACTAATAATGAATTCTTTCTTAAATATCTATCAGCATCGTATTGAATATCTCCTTTAATATTTTTAACAGATATTTGTTTATATACAAGATCAGATTTAATTGGTTTTTGAATAGTTTTACCATATGATGAATTCATAATTGATTTAAATACTTCTTGAACTGGATTACCTTGTTTCTTAAAATCTCTTCTTAAATTATACAATTTAGACATCTCGTTAGATAATAAATCAGACTTATTACAAGTCCAATAATAGCCTCTAATTATTTTATATTCAATCCGTTGAAATTTAATAAGATTTTCTAATAATATATTATCAACTCTCATAATACAAGGTTCATTAGTATTATGATTACCAGTTTTATCTTTTTTAACAATTAATGGAAAATGTAATTTCTTATTTACTTTAGTAATTTCAATATCAACAATAAAAGCAGAAATAAATTTACTTTCAGTAGGTTCTAATTGTTGTTCATCCATAAGGTGATTAAGTAAATAATCATTAATTAACATATTTTTAGTAATAACAATTGGAGAACCTGTTGCTAATTTTAATCTATTAATAGCTGAAGTCTATAATGAGCAAGCATCATAATCATATAATTCATCATTTACATACCATTTTTATTATCTCTAGTCATACATCTTCCTCCATAAATAGCTCCTTGAATAAATTCTCTAACTTTTCCTCCATATTCTTTTAAATTATCTATTTTTGAATAAACGTTATGCTTAAAGTAAGTATTAGCTAAAGAAGCTGCTGATATTACTTTATCAACATCAATATTTAAATATTCTAAACACATATCTCTAAATTTAGAATGACCTTGTTTTAAGATTCTAACATCTTGATTACAATAGAATACACAATAAGCTTTCATATCGAATTTAAATTCATCAATAAGACAATTTTCAATAGAATCAATATTTTCAATAAATAAACTCCGGACACAAAGTCCGACGTGTCGGACTTTCGGACTTATTTTTTTGTTATTTTTTCGATTGTTTATTTAAATAATATATCATTTTCGTCGAAAAATAATGGGAAATTTGCTAAATGTTATGAACATTTCTGTTTTTATTTTATTTTTGATGTGTTTTTTTATTTTAAATATTTTAATGATTCCCACAAAAACATCTATTAAAACATTCAATGTTTTCACAAATAATTACTCTGTAACTACACAGTTTTAAAATGAAAATGTTTTATAACAAAAATATTTTTTGTTAATAATTATTTTTTTAATATATATATGTTATTATAAAAAGTGTAATTATAACGAATTTTATAAGTTATTAAAAACTATTTAAAAGTTATTAATGTATCAAGTTATGACATTTCCACAGTTTTTTGCAATTGATTGATAATTCTCCTTTTTGCATAACAATAAGCGCTATTCATATGATAAAACGAGTCGATCAACTGTTGTTTGTGAAATTGAATTCCAAACTTTTTTCACTTCTTCAAATACTTCATATTTTCCCATATCAATAGTCAAATTAATTTTTCTCTTTATGATAGACCAAATTTGTTCAATGGGATTCAGGTCGGGCGAATTTCCAGGCCAATTTTTTTAACAATTTTATTTTTTCTTTTTCGAAAAAACAACAGGTATTTTTGTGGTGTGAGGAGTGGCACCATCTTGCATAGAAAGAAATTTTTTACGATATTTTTTCATTTCAATCAGTGCTCCACTGGTTTTAAGGAAATTGATGTAAGTTTGTGATGTAACATTTTTGTCAAAATGAATCAACTCACTTTTAAACCCAACACCGATAACTCCCCATACCATTGCACTTGTTGTATGTTTTGGCATATGAAGTATACACTTTTTATTTAAACATCCTCTTTCTATCCAAACTTTGTTGTTTCGGGCATCATTTTGGAAACAGAAACGACACTCATCTGAAAATAAAATTGGTAAATGTCTATGTCCAAGTTTGTTTATATTATTATTTTTTTCTTTCATTATTCTTTTAAGTTCACTATCTACAAATGATTTTCTATCTTGAATCTTTTTATGAGACAAAAATTGTTCTTTAATTTTTTGTGTATATTTGAAATGATGTGCTTTTCGAATAAGATTTACTTCAGTTTTAGAAATTTTTTTAATGCCAAAAACGTTTAAGTTTTTTTGCACATGTTGATCCAGATTCGTTCGGTTGGCGTCTAGTTCTTTTTATTATATTTTCTTTGATAAAAATGGGTATTTTTGGACGTCCCATTTTTGGAGTTACTAATGAATTTCCCATTTTAAATGGTTTGATACATCGATATATTTTTCCTTTACCTGGAGGAATTATGTTGTTTTTTCGAAATAATTGTTGTATTAAAAATGGAGTGTATACGTGGTTTTTGAAACAAACAAGAAGATTTTCTTCTTTTATTTTTATCGGATTAAGATATATTTCATTTGTTTCAAGTAGAGGCATCAAACATGTGTTGTTATTTGTTATATTTAATGTTTGAATTATTTCATCAAGTTTTTCATTTATTTTCGGTATGTAATCAGAATTTACTGTTAAAATTGGTCGTTGTAATAAATATTGAGATTCAGGAAATAATTTATTATAAACATCAGGATCCACGTTAAATGATATCTGTATTGCAGTTCCACCAACAATTAAGTTTGTTTTTAATTACATTGTTGCTTTGGGGTTTGACTGCATTGCTGCCAAAACAGAATATTTTTGATCTCCAACGATATCTTTAATACGTTCATCAAACATTTCATCACCGATTATTTGAGACATAAATTCATCTGGAAGCAAATTTAAACGTATTTCACCAACAACTTTCATTATTGTTACAGCTTCTTGGATTGAAATAGTCATTGATTTTGCAATTTTTTATATGTTTTTTTAACAAAACTAATAATAATTCATTTTGAAATAATTATATATAATATAAGAAAAAACATTTATTCATAATTCATTTTTGGTGTGACTATTTTGTACAAAAACCAATGTATCATTTTGAATAAATTTGGTGTTATTTATTCCGAATCAAATATTAAACGACAATATTTTATTTATAAAAACAAAATTAATTGTTTATTATATATTTACATTTATATATTATTTAAATATTAATATTTTCTACACAACAAAAATTAAAATTGTTTTGTGATATGTCATGTTTTAATTAATTTCATGTGTTTTTATTTAAATTTGATTCTTTTTATAGTTTTAATTAATATTAAAATTATAATGAAGTCAAGTTTTTAGTTGTTATTGTACAAAACGACGAATTAAAAAAAACTAATTTTATTTTTATTTTGTTAATTGTTTTTAATAAAGATTTAATTCGTCATTTTAAAATACAATTTGGGTATGAAATTGATATTTCATGTTTAATAAACCAAAATAATTTATGATTTTGAAATAAGGAAATTGTAGTGTAAGTTGAAAAATATAAATTGAAAAAAAAGACGCAAAAAATCGAAATAAGGGAAAATTATGATAAGTAAAACAGGTATAATTTTCGACAAAATATATTAATATCCCGAAAAACAAAAGAAAAAAATACTGTTATAACGTGTCGGACTTTGTGGCCCAAGTTTAGTTTAAACTGTTCTTTACTCCATTTATTAATTTCATATTTGTCGGCTTTTAATATAGTACCAATATTATTTTCAATATTATCCTTATTATAATAATTATATGGATAGATCTCTTTTTGAATATTAGATAAACCAAACATCTTTGGAAAAGATGCTAAACTAGTTGAAATTAAAGCATAAGAATCTTTAAAAATTAATTGTTTGCCTTTGAATTTAAGAGTCATTTGCATGATTTTACCTGATTTCTTAATACATCTATTAACTCCATATCTAGAAAGGAATGAACCATCATATTTAAGATTATGAAAATAACAAACAGCATTATGAGGTAAATCACATAAGAAATCATAAGCACAATCTTTTCCGTATTTATTATAAATCTTATCTTCCCCTCTTTTAGAATAACAAACACAATATGGATTATGATATCCTTGTGTACTAGCTTCAAAATCAGCGTACCAATAAGAATGATCTACTTCTTTACGTTTATTTTCTTTTATTTCAATATTTCTTGTTTCAAAAGGTAAATATTCAAGTGTATTTAATGATTGAAATACATATTCAGATAAATCCGATTTCAAATGTAAAACATCAGATAGAGTATATGGTTCAAATCCATTGTGATCTCTAATATAAAGAATAAGATCAGATAACTTGATAGTAGTTTTAGCTCCTGGTTTAACATAATAACATTGTTTCTTTTTATTATAACGTTGCTTATTGAACATAGATTCTATACTTTTATTATGAGTAATAGCCCAATTATTAATTTCTTCTCTATTTTTAAGATAAAATGGAGTAATTGGAATATCAATATTCAAAATATATTGATCGCCTTTCATTCATGAATCTCTATATAAAAACATTTCTAAATTATATTTAGCATCTTTGAGTTCACATCCATAATAATCTATTTTTCTATTCTTATGTTTGTTTGATTTATCGGTATTCTCTTTATCAATTCTAATTCAAATATGAGCCGATTTACACAATTCATCTAATAATTTAGCTTTTTGATAACGACCTCTACAATGAATTAATACTAATTCTAAAGTTTCATCATCGACATTAGCTTGTTTTAAAGCATAAGTGAAACAATTTAAATCAAATTCTGATCTAACCTTTCCATTTTCATTAAACAATGAACTGAATATTTGTGCTTTAGCAAGATATTGATCAAATATTTCAAATTCTGGTTTATAATGATAAGGAAAAAAGCTTCCGACGGTAATTTTATATTGATGAATAAGATCTTCAGTATAATGATAAGGAGAAATTTTCAATTCTAATATGAATAATGGTTCGGGAATAGTTTGTTGAACATAAAAAGTAGAATCGATAGAAGCATTTACTTCTTGTTTATTGATAAAACCCATGGATTCTTCAGAAACAGAATTAAGAAATTCATCAATGGCGTCTTGAGTATTTAACATTTAAGATTTCCATCCATCTTGACTAAGGTAATAGTTATAAACTATTTCAGTAGTAGAAGGAATGGATTTAATTAAATCGTTAAAATACACTCTCACCAATTGAATTCTTCTTAATTTTTCTCTAAAACCACATCTAAAATCTGCTTTAATTGTTTTATTAGCTCTATCATAAGTTACTTTAGTTTTAATTTCAGTATGATCTTCATTTTCTTCAATCATATCTTTATATTCTTCCATATTGTTTTCGTATTGTTCTTTTTCTTTCAATTCTTTAAAATATTTCTTCCTTTCATCGTTAATTCTTAATTCTTCTTCAAATTTTTGATACATATCTTCTCTGATTAAATCATCATTATCTTTAACACCGTCAAATGAAATATTATTTAAACTCCATTCTAAATTCTTTTTATCAAGATCTTTTTGAATTTTTTCTTCATCTAAATCTTTAATTAATGTTGCTTTTTTATTAATTTAACCAAAAGTTTGTTTATCAGTTTTGTTTAATTTATCAAAAACTTTTGCTAAAAATGGTTGTTCTAATTTAATAGTACTTTTCTTATTATCTTTCATTCTTTTTAATTGATCTTCCAATTTTGCTTTGTATTGTAAATATAAATCTCTTGTTTCAATGTCCATTGCAATTAATTCTTTTCTACATTTTTATTATTTATTTTAGTAGAAGCAGCCTTAATAGTTCCAGCTTTAATGGTGAAACAGTTTAAAAAATCTTCTTCAGAATAAGTAATAGTAAAATTGTAAAAATTCTTAATTCTATATTGATCTTTATCAGTGTTCATTTTAGGGAAATAAAAAAATAAAATATTTTAAAAAAATAGTTCAAATAATTTGTTAAAAATAAATCCCGAAATTTGTGAAAATGCAGATTACGCGTCCCCTCGCGATTTTAGTTAAAATTATGAGAAAATGAGGGTACACCCTAAATCCACATAATTTATATACTACTGTGTTAACAATCATAAACTTTTTTAAATTATTATTGGTCACTTTCTTATAGATTGCATCATTTCTGAGAAAAATCCATCACTTTTGATTTAATTTCCCATCATTTTTTTACTATAAATCATCATTTTTACGATTATTCATCACTTTAATAAAAAAATACTCATAATTTTTCAAACAAATTACTATCACTTCTTAATTAATTCATCATTTTTATCAAAAATGGTGTACATTTTTTAAAAATCATATCACTTTCATAAAAATACTGTCACAAGTAGACCCAATTCGACTGTATATATACTATTGTCATATTAACAATGAAATGATTAAGTTTGCAAATCTTTTTTATTGTTGTGTGCCTTATTCGAGTTATCTTGTCCAACCATTGGATTTGTGCTTATTTGGTGTTTCCAAGTAATCTCCAAATTCAAGAGTTTCAACAACAATCGAAGAAATGTCGCTGCTTTCAATAATGACCCACATAGTTGAACATGAAGACGGATTCCAAAAATGTTTCGGTGATTTTATTTAAAAGATAAGCTAGACAGATGGATGGATGGCTTTGCAATTTATTGAGAACGTCTAATACTCCAAAGAAAACCAACTGGTGTGCAATTAATTTATCACATAAAGAAAGTTTTGGAAATCATGAAATCAAATAAAAAGAATAAAGAAAAAGTAGCCTCGTTCAAAAGTTCAAGTGTCATTGATTTTCATTTGTATCGGATAAAACTTATATTTGTTTCGTTTAAGGAGGCAAGTCGTATGCTCCATAAAGCCGGTAATATTTTCACTTTGGAGTTGATTGAATACTTCGTAGTACCAGAAGTTGACCGTTATTGGTCACAATCCAATTGGAAACTTTGTCTCGAATTGTTCCAAGACAAGTAATTTAAACTAAACCGATGTTATCCCTGCACAATGATCACAACAGATAATGGTGGCTGAGCATGGCATCAATAAAATTACTGAAGATAAAAACGTACTTACTAAAATAAAACAAACCAAAGTTCATTTAAATTTTATTCAAGTTCCGAATTCTTGCTTATAATGAATAATCACATTTGTGGTAGTTAACTATTTAAAATACTAGGCTTCGCGCCCGAGTTTTTAATTATCAAAAATTAGTATTGAAAAACACTAATAAAACGGGTAAATTTATCTTTCCCGTTTTGTTAGCATTTTTCAATACTAATTTTTGAAAATTTAATTCTCAGGCGAAAAGCCCATAAAATACATAATGTTTTGTATTATAATAAATAGTAAAACAATGGTTTAATTATTATAATAAAAATACTTTCAGTTTACAAATTCACAGATAATAGCTAATTCTCTGTGGTGTGTATTAAGACAATCCATGACAGATTGTGGAGAATGCGAATAACAAAAAACGAATTATTGATAATCGCCATTATCTGTATACTACAGAAATACAAGAATATAAAAGTTGAAATTATATTTAAGCACAGAAGCTTATAAAATTGGGCTTAACCAAATTTTCAAAGTAAATTTTTTATTTATTTTAAATATAGAGTCATTTGCTAAACTTTGTCTGGTCTGTCACCTTGTCTGCAGATTTTTAAACCATTATAAATGGAATATTTCGGGAAATTTTTTGAAAAACCCAAATACCATTGTTTCAATATTTTTCCCAGTTTTTCTCATTTTTACCTAATTCCCGTTTTTTTTTAAACAAAAATCAATTATTTTTTGTCAAAAAGACAACGTTCTTAGACTTACTCTATTATGTTATCATTTATTAACTTCTAATAATAACAATTTTTTCTAAAAATACTCAATATTGTTTTTAACAAATTGTTAATCAATCTTAACAAAATTTTCTTACTTTTTTTTATTTTTGTTTTTGGAGGGAATGACTACCCAATTTTTTATTATAATAATTTGTGAATTAACTAAAATATATAAATAAATAAAATGAAGGGAAAGTACTTTTGATTTTATTGTAAAAATAAAACTAAGTGTAGTTGTTTAAATTATTTTTTAGTCTAATATATAATTAAATAAAAGTTGTTTTAATTCAATGGTCCCAAAACTACATTTAAATATATCACTTTTTATTTAAAAAAACGAAACTAATTATTTGAAGAAAACATATGAAAAAAACGGGAAAAACACCAAAATAATCAAAAACTGCATTCATTATTGTCCAAAAATACAAAACTTTGCGACAAAAACAAAAAAAATAATAGAAGCCATTTAAATCAAAACAAAACGGGAAACAAAAGTGAAGAAAAAAAAGGTGAATAATTGGTGGTATTAGAAATACTGAAAAAGTTAGATGGGAAAAGAAACTGAGGATAAAAATTAAATAAAAAACGAAAAGATGGCAAAACAGGATGAATGCGATAAGGAAACAAAACTATTTTACTTTGGTTTGTGAAATAAAAAAACATCACTCGAATTATTCACAGTTGAGACATGGGCGTCGTGATCACCACAACACTTCCCGATGTGAATAAACTCACCCCAACTAAGACGTATGTTTCAACGACAGAGGATGACTTCATGGCGTTGAGGATGCTAAGCTTCATCAGTGATGTCACCAGAAACACAATTACATTCAACACAACAATCGATCCCAACGAAGTTTATTATGACTTCAGCACATAACATGTTCTTATTAAGGACGTGCATCTTTTAAATTTCCAGTAAATTCCTGACTTATTTGTCTCGTTATTCCAACTTTTTTGTATTGAGTGTTTTGTGTTATTTTATTGGCAAGTTTTTTTTTCTATATTTTATTATATATTTTTATTGTAGAATAAACGAGATCATTTTGAGTGAGTTAATAAAAGGCTGTGATTGAGATGGAAGAACGAAAGAGTGTTTAAGACTTGAAAACAGAGAGAAAAACCAATGGAAACAAATTGCAAGTCTTTGAAGAAGGCGCTTGTAGGTGTCGCACATGCAGTCGAAAGAGTATTTTCAACAAATAAGCAGACTGGAGTGAAGAATGAAAAGGCCGATTCGCAGCCTTTCATTGTCAGAGACACTGAAATGGACAATATAATAGGGTCGCTAAGGTATATGTTTGGAAATGACTATAAGAGAGAAACTTACCAAATAAACGACAACGATTACACGTCTTTGAGATATATGTTTACAGATATGCACCTGTTCCTGAAAGACGAGGCCGAACAAGAGAAGCAGGACGAAATAGATGAAGAAAACTCATTTGCATTTCTCAGAGAAATGTTTGGTGGTGCTGTTGTCAAAAAAGATGTTAAGGTGTTCGATGACTCGGTGATCAGAAACATGTCCAAACTTCCCAAACCATCGTTGCACAAGATGAAAGGTGCCTTGGTGGGAAAGACAAGACCAGAGTAAGTTATTTGTTTTTTTCTTTTTAAAATGTTAGTTTTTAGAAATTACATTGTAATTGTTGAATTAAGTATTAAATACAAACCAATATGTAGTTTGGTTTAATAAAAATATAGTTTTGGTTCAATAATTAAAATGTATATCTGGTCATACCATAATTATTATAAATAATAATAAAACAACTAATTTGTTTTATTAAATTTTTTATTGTTAATTTTTATTGTCATTAATATTTATTAATAATTAAAATTAGAAAAAGTATGATATTTGTTGTATAAAAAAACTATAAAATATAATTCATATTACCACTTCAAAAAAAGAAAAAAATAATAATTAAACAAATATTTTTTAATTTTTTTCGATTTAAAACGATATTATTAGTTGTTTTTGTATTACTTCAATATTGTATATTTTATATTCGTATTTCCCCAAAACTATGGGATGAATTTAGAAACTAAAATAATACAAACCAAAAAAACAAAATCTTTAGTTCTTTTTACCAAAAAGAATAGTTTGCGAAACTCCCCATTATATAAATCAATTATATACTAAAATAACTGGAATTTTTTATAAAATATCCATTCGTTATCATCAAATAACCAAACATTCGATGAATCACCAAAGAAAAACGATAATAATAAACGAACTACAAAACTAATTAAATACCAGATTTAGCGAACTGATTGGTCAAAAATAAAAGTACATTAATTGCATTTTTTATCTGTAATAAATTGGGTTACGTATGATGACGTGTATACAATATTAATAAAATAGCAAAATTTTGAGAATAAAGCGCATTTTGTCACTCATAAATTGAATCAAATGACTTTTAATATTATTTCCCGAATGTTTACAACTAAAATGTGGTATTTTAAAAAATAAAAATTCTCAGCAAATTCAAGCCATATGAACATTGTCATGAAGACAAATTATATCATTTTGTTGATCGAAAATAAGAAGACTTTTGATCTGATTGGCTGAAAATGGGCGGGGATGTTGCTATTCCTGCACATAAAAAGTCGATGAAAATCACACCGAGGTTTTGAGAGATTCCACAATTGAGTAAGAAATTTCTTTGAAAACTGTTTTTATTTCTAAGAAAATTTTGGTCACTTGCGGTGCAAGTCTGTTTATCAATAATTGGATTTTTTAGTCGAATAAAAAAGGTCTTTTCAATTCCAACTCCCCAAGAAAAATACGAAAAAACTTAGTCAAAAAGTGCGACAGTGCACTCTAATGTACACTTACAATACCTAAAATATAAAATTTACAACAATTGACCAATAACAAATTGTATAGTTTAATTAACTATTAGTATAGAATTGGTGTTGCAAACGTTATTTAGTAATTCGTCTTCTCGTGTTAAAGTTTAATGAATGAAACGCCCACGTGGGTGCGCGTTTTGATGTCGAAGCAAAAGAAGTCTCCACTTCATAATTCCACGAGGTATATAAGTCATGTCTTGCATCTGAAAATTCACATCACATGGCCTACACATTCAACACCACCAAGAGTCACTCAACTGCTGACTTCATCGAGGCGGATTTCAAATACGAAACCACCCAAGTCGAAGTCAAACCAGAAGGTGTAGTCTGCACTCCAAAATCACAGGACTACAAGTTCAAGGTTAACAAGAAGGTTCCCAAGATGGGCCTTATGATGATTGGATGGGGTGGAAACAATGGTACCACTGTCACTGCTGGTATTTTGGCCAACAAGCATCACCTTTGCTGGACCGACAAGAGAGGTGTCCATGAACCAAACTATTATGGCTCATACACCCAGAGCGCTACTATGAGACTTGGTATCACAACTGAAGGTGAAGAAATCTATGCCCCATACAAAGAGATCCTCCCAATGGTCTGCCCAGACGATATTGTCCTTGGTGGATGGGATATCTCTAAGACTAATATGGCTGATGCTCTTAAGAGAGCTCAAGTCGTCGACTATGACTTGCAGAAGCAATTGTACCCATACATTAAAGATTGGGTCCCATTACCATCTATCTACTACAAGTCCTATATTGCCGCTAACCAAGACGACAGAGCCGACAACGTCATCCCAGGCAATAAACAAAATCACTTGGACACCGTCAGAAAGAACATTAGAGACTTCAAAGCGGCCCATGGTCTTGACAGAGTTGTTATCTTGTGGACTGCCACCACTGAAAGATACGTCGAGTTGAAGGCTGGCTTGAATGATACTGCTGATAACTTGTTGAAAGCTATTGCTAACGACGAAGAGGAAGTCTCACCATCAACTATCTTTGCGACCGCTGCTATCTTGGAAGGATGCCCGTTCGTCAACGGCTCCCCACAAAACACTTTGGTTCCAGGTGTCATCGAACTTGCTGAGAAGCACAACGGCGCCGTGATGGGTGACGATTTCAAGACTGGACAGACTAAAATCAAGTCAGTTCTTGCTGACTTCTTGGTCTCTTCTGGACTCAAGTTGCAATCAATTGTCTCATACAACCACCTTGGAAATAACGACGGAAAGAACTTGAGCTCGCCAAACCAATTCAGATCAAAGGAAATCTCAAAATCAAATGTCGTCTCTGATGTTGTCAAGTCGAACACTATTATGTATAAGAAGGGTGAACATCCCGACCACGTCATTGTCATTAAGTATGTCCCATACGTCGGAGACTCTAAGAGAGCTATGGATGAGTACACCAGTGAAATCTTCCTTGGTGGACATAACACCATCGCTTTACACAACACATGCGAAGACTCATTATTGGCCGCACCATTGATGATCGACTTGGCTGTCTTGATGGAGTTCATGACGAGAATCACTTACTCAGTCGAAGGAAAGGAATTCAGCCATTTCAATGCAGTTATGTCATTCTTGTCTTATCTCCTTAAGGCCCCAGTCGTACCAAAAGGAACCCCAGTAGTCAACGCTTTGTTCAAACAAAGAGAGTGCTTGGATAACCTCTTCAGAGCTCTCCTCGGCCTTCCCGCTGAGAATCACATGCTCCTTGAAGGAAAGACTCAAAGCTTCTTCTAATTGTGTTAAGCCTTTTTCACTTTAGTTGTTCTTTTTCAAACGATTTTTACTATTCAAATACTATTTTAATACTTATTACTAATAATATACTATTTTTAATACAATTTTTTTAATATGAACTTAAAAGAACAGTAAGAAGAAAGAATAGAGGAATGGGTAATCTATTCTCATCAAACAATTACTCTTCTAATGAAACCACTACACCTACTTATGTCTACCAAAACACCGAAAAAACCCTTTTCGATGTCTCTTCGGAAACGGAAGATGATTCAGAAGAAGAAGACAAGAGTCGATATAATGAGCTCGAAGCTAAGAAATATTTAAAAACAGAGAAACGACTTGATAGATATTCAATGATGATAGTCTCGAAGTACTTTAAAACAAAGGAAGACTATTTGAATATGATCACAGTGTGTAAGGACTACCAATACATCTTAGACCAATTCCACTATAATCCAATACCTGTCAAGAACAAGGCACTCTTCCCTCAATTGGAAACACAACATTTCTATACCCAAACAGACTTTAAGTATCAAGTGGAAGTGAGTCATAAGGTGATATGGTATCCCCTCTACTACACCGACTTGATGATTTTAAAGAAAACGGATAACACCATCTTAGCGAAAAAGGTGATATACAACGAAGCCTTTAATTATCGAGTCACTCCACTTATTCCAAAAGAAGTGACATCACTTGGGACGCGATTGTTTACAGAAGTGAGATGTAAAGAAATGACAGTGCCAAGTCAAGTCACGTCACTGTTGTGTCAATGCTTCACGGGGTGCCACTTCCAAACGATTATATTACCCCCATCCGTTATTAGAATTGAAGACTACTGTTTCTATCAATGTAATGACTTGAAAGAATTGGAAATGACTCCAAGTGTGAACACACTCGGACAACACTGGATTGATGGGTGTTACTCACTGACTCAAATTCATATCCCAAACTGTCGGACGTTCTTTGCAAAAGTCGACGTCTTCACTTCACGATTTCTGGAAGACCAAAATATCCACTGCGAGGAGATAGAATTCTCGGATAACGACTGCGCTCTAAGACAACGGAATCATGTGAGTCCAGTCATACCAACTTTTATTACTAAGTTGGAAGAATTCACATGTTCTCCAGCTATTAACTCTTTCACTGTACCTAAAAATGTTATAGTAATAGGAGAAAAGGCTTTTTCTTCATCACGAGCTACAAAGATCGTTATTGAAAATGGCGTGAAGAAGATTGGTAGAAAGTGTTTCGAAAGGTGCAGTTGGCTGAAGGAAATTAACTTCCCAAGTTCGGTCGATAAACTACACAGAGACTGCTTGAGAGGATGCACCGCACTGACTCGAGTCGCTATACAAAGAGACTTATTCGAGAAATCTAAAAATGTTTTTGCTAATCTACAAACCATCAATTTCATCTTTTGAGGAATTGAAAATGTTTTTAAAAGTGTTTTTTGTGATTAATAAAACTATAATTTTATAGTTTTTTGTAGAATAGTTTAAACTCTAGTAAAATTGTAATTCTACTTTATTACAACCAATTCTACGCTTTAAAACAAAAACGAAGATAAAGTAAGGTTTCCCAAAATTCACATGATTGTTTTTTTTATTAATATGTATAGTTAATTAAATTAGTTTTATAGTAAATGAATAAAAGAGAGCGACTTTGTGGAACGAGATAAAAATCTGAGAAGGGTTGAAAGAAAACGCGTAAGAGGGTTTAGAGAACTGAGAAACGCAAATAGAAATGGTTTGTTGGTTGAGTCATTACAATGATAAGTGACATGAAAGTGACGAATAGTCCGCCGGTGAGCAAAATTCAAAAATCTTCCCAAAAGCTCCTAAAGAACTTCAGAGCAAATTGATTGATTTTGTGCAACAAGGATATCAAAAAGGACTTGTGAAGAAAGGCGCCAATGAAGTGACAAAGGCATTGAATAGAGGAAGAGCTGAGGTCGCTATTTTGGCTGCCGATGCTGAACCAATTGAAATCTTACTTCACATCCCAATCTTGTGTGAGGACAAAAACGTCCCTTATGTCTTTGTGTCGTCCAAAGCTGCTCTTGGCCGTGCGTGTGGGGTGTCAAGAGATGTTATTGCTGTTGCGTTGTTGGGGGATAAAGGAACTTTTTCTAATTCCATCGAAACTGTCCGTGATGAAATTGAAAAGTTGTTGTTCTGAGTGTTTCCTTTTCATGATTGATTATCATTTTTATATTTTATGTTTTAATACATCATCTCAAGTACACTAATAACAATGTATAGTTTCTGTTACTATAATTTATAATACATTTTTTTTAATATTACAATAAAAAGGACTTGAAAGTCTTAAGAAGGCGGGAAAAGAACCCAAATGGTTTTATATTAAGTGGATATGGATTATACTAAAGAAAGAACTATATAAAATAAGTAATGAAGGAAGAAGGTTTATTGCCAACATACCCAATGGAAAAGGCGGAACGAACGACACAAATAGTCTGTTTCTATCGGCGTGTTGACGAGTTTGGGTCCTTATTTAAGAGGAAGTATTTCACTGGTGTGTTTTATTATAACTGAATAGTACATTTACTATAAACAAACTATTTACAAGTTGAAGGGGTTGACCATTAGACAAGAGTGTGAGTGTTGGGAAGGGGTACGAAGTGATGGACAAATGCGACGAGAGTGGTTGCTTGTTACTTCGTGATGTCGACCGAGTAGTGTTTACGACTGTCACGACATCGATAGAACTTCGATCGACGGATGTAGTAACCCTTGGGAGGACTGTGAAGTATGAAATGAATGTAGTGAGTGGGGAGAAGTACAACAAAGGGATAGAATTTCGGGAACAATTACTTCCTAATGGACATATAGGGAGTGGAAGTTTCTCGCATGTGATGTTAACATATAATCGTGTTGATGGGAAACAGTATGCAGTGAAGCACTTGAAAGAGGGGATGGAAAAGACGTATGGGAAGAAGTTCAAAGGAGAAATTGAAGTGATGAAGACATTAGGCAAACACGCCCATATGATAGGATATGTCACCGACTTTCAAACGGAGAACATTCAATACTTAGTTATGGAATATGTAGAATACCCCCTCCTTGGCTATATCTCTCAACAGGAAAGAATAGGGAAATATGTCCACCACGCGGTGTGCCGGAAGGTATTAGAAGACATCGCTGGTGGAGTAGTGTATTTGGAGAAGATGAAATACATCCACCGAGACATCAAATGTGGGAACGTCTTAGTCAGTTCTGATTTTCAATGCAAAATTGGGGACTTTGGGTTGTGCATAAAAGAGTGCGATGCTCAGAGTCAATTCAATTCGATAGGTGGAGTTGGAACAGTCGATTACTTAGCACCGGAAGTCAGAAGTACACCGGCGAAGTATTCGTATAAAAGTGATGTATGGAGTGTTGGGTGTGTGTTGTGGTGTGTATTGAATGGGCGAGAGATGAAGGAGTATCGAGCAAAGTATTTTGAGGAATTACCAGCAATGAGTGAATATGCCCAATTGGGGAATTGTGGGGGGATGATGTTAGAAGAGAATTACGAGAAGAGATTGACTATGAAGAAAATGGTTGACATCGGGTTCATCAAAATTTCAAAAAGTGAAGAAGACGATGGGACAATAAAGAGAGAGATATTCACACAACCACATTTTATCCAATCACCAAAGAAAAAGGAAAAAAGAGAGAAAGACTCGAAAAAAATTCAAGCAAATGCAATGGAACTCGAACAAATAAAAGTCGAACAAAAAAAACTCAAAAGAAAAGAAGAAAAACACAAACGGGAACATAAAAAGGGTGGCGAAATTAGGTACACGCCACTCTTCACAAAACAATCTGCGAAAAAGTAAACGGCCTCACTTTCATCACAGTGTTTTGTATCGAATGGTATGGTACTTATTTTATAATACAATTTATTAATATTGAAATTATACAAGTGATTTTCTTGTTATCATTTGTTTTATTAATAATATATAGTACATATTTTATTGTAAATCGAAAAAAAACAAAGGTCTTTAGTTGAGTTAAATATGAAAATGTATTAAACTTATTAATTAATTTATAACAAATTAATAGAAAATTTCATATGTTAAAAAAGTACTATTTTTCAGAACTAATTTCCAACAAAGAATCATTAAAATCATTAATAATAATAATATTAATAATGAAAAAGTCAATAATTGCAAAATAGTACAATTGTAAAAACTCATCACTTTTTAAAACCATAAAATATAGTAATAAAACCATAAAAAATAATACACGAAAAATAAACAATTGCAGTTATAAATAGTTTACTGGAATCATAATTGTTAGGTCGCCTTTTGTTTTCGAAAGCGAAAAGCGATTGAGTTTTAAATGACAAGGAAAGTGACACGACAAAGGAAATAAATTAATTTACAAGCCGCCAACAACGATCTTATTCACGGCGTCCGGCTGTTTCTCTTTTTTGGTGTCGAGGATTTCAAAGGTGAAGTCGACTGGGTCGCTGTGGACCCAGTCGATTTGGATGTCGATTGCGTTGGTGAGGTCAATTGCTTGTAATCCAGTCTTTGGCATTTCCTTCTAGATTTTCGAGTTGCGGAAACCCTATTTATACCCTACAGGAACGCCTTCTTTGTTTCCTTCCTCCTTTGTTATTTGTTGTTTGCAATCACACAAGAAGGAAACAAGACCGTGTCTTGCTTTGATAATAATAACTCGAAAACTAGACTGTTTCAATGACTTTGGAACACTTTCTTACCCCAAGTAACCCAACACCTTTGGTTATTAAGGAACATCATCCGAGAGTCACTGATATCACTACAACATTCAGTTTGGGGAACATCTTTGGTCTTAAGAAGAGTGAAGAAAGTAACGTGTGCTCTTTATATACATATGACAATACGAAATGTACTCTCTACAAGGATGGAAGTGTCGTCTGTGTTGGTACGAAATCACTGAATGAAATTAAAGTCGTCGTGAAGAAATTAAAACGACATCTGAATGAAAGTGGGTACAACACACACCACGTCTCAATCAAAATCAAAAGCGTGATCGGTAAAGTGTTATTCGACTTCGGATTCGACTTGAAGAAGGTGTATCTTGCCTTCTTAGAGCAAAGTAGATACAACCCAGAGCTTTACTCAGCAGTAGTTATATCCGATGAAACTTTTAACTCCACAATTGCGGTCTACCAAAGTGGAAAAATATTGATCAAAGCTCCTTCCATCGAAAAGATGTTGTTTATGTATTATCACATAGCCCCTAAATTACTTAGATATAGAGTCTAATTTAATTGTTAGTATAATAAACTATTAAAGAACTATTCTTGAATCTTTAAAGAATAAAAGTAATTAACACTGTAATGGACAGAAGAACACAAAATAGTACAATAAGACATTAATAATACAAAGCTATATCGTCCATGAGTACTTCGCCTTTGAACCACAGAGTAAAGGATGAGACAAGCAAATTTTTTTGTTGCAAGTTGAAAGAATACGTTTGGACTAGATGCATCTCGGAAATACCATCAGTGTCTTTAACAGGCACTTTGACATAACTGAAATGATTCAAAGTTAATTTTGTAGAGTTAAGTAAAGTGACATCGAGATATTGGTCATAAGACAGTTGAGCGTTTTCAATTGTTTCTTTGTAAAATGAAAATTTGATGCCACTGCAGTTGACGGCATTTTTCAGAGTAAAAGTGACTTTACAAAGTTCGTTATTGGAACAGACGTACAACAAGTTGAGTGACTGAAACACATTTTGGTAAAGCTTTCCATCGAATGTAGCATTTGTGAATATTTCTGCGTCGAATAAGGACCCATTTGAATAGAGCAGAATCTCTTTATTTGACTCGAAGGTGCTATAGTACCCCGTGTTTTGTGGTAGAACGTTCTTCCCATTTTTGAAATCCACAAGCAAGGCCAAATTGTCGCATTTTCCCTTTAAACTGCACAGAAAATGGGTCGTGACAAAGTTACTTGCGACGCACTGTAATTCAGAGGGTTTGAGGAGGTCGGGTCTGTTCATCTCTATTTTGTGGAGTAATGCATCCTCATCGCTCTCTTTATATAACGAGTTGAAGTTATTGCCATTGGCCTTTTCTATAACTAGACTACCACTATATTGGTACTCTTTAGTATCATTTCTAATAGTCTTTTCAAAGTAATAATATGAGGTAAGAAGAGGGTCATCATAGGCGGACATTTCTGGGAGGGTTTCGATGAAATAGGAATACTTGTTTTGAATAGGGTTTTGCTCTGGAATGTCGTGGCAATTAAATACAGCAACGCTGCGTATACTAAACATGTTTTTAATTGTGTCATTAATGGTATTATAATCAACAGAATTCAACGCTTGAACAACACGTAAGGCAACTCCTCCACCTTCTCTATCCCCTAACACTCCGATATTTGAGAAGTCGAGTTTATGTCCAAAAAATTCGTTCAGTCGGGGACTTAAGTAGTTCAACGACTCGATGACTAATTGAGTCCTTGCTAGATAATAAGCTTCTCTTGTTGTACGTTGGTGTTTTGGAACAATCCAATCGCCATTCCCATCTGGGTCTAAAAAGTCCGACTCAAGTGCAATGGTAATGATGCCATTTTCAGTCAAAGATTCTTGGACATATAAATAGCCTCGTTCACTCTCAACTAAATTGTCCATTTTGGAAGAAAGAATGACTACAACTTGACAAGACTCATTGAAGCTTTTGATATCAATAGGATAATATACTATCCCATTGATAGGAATGGCTTTGGATGTCATATGGAAGTAATCTCGAGTGGTAGCACCAAGTTCAAGTATATCACTTAAGTCGATAGTTGGCGTCTTAATAGAAGGTTTAGCATACTCTTGTCTCAAATAGTCGGCTTTCCCATTCCCAAAAGTCAGTTGTGATATTTCATTTTCCTTTTCACAGTAACTTATAACAGTGGTTGGCCACGTCACGTCGACAGTATCAAAAGTAGACACTCTAATACTTGTGTTTGTGACTCTTTTCCCTATAAAAAAGCCACTAAGTAACAAACAAATCACTATAAGAAGAGTCAACACAACAATGAAGATATAACACCACCCCCACTCTTTAAACTCTTTTTGAATACTTTTCTTAAAATCCTTTTGAGACTTGATAGAAGAATAGATACTCAGTCCAAGTTCTAAAAATAAAACAATAAGTAAACTAATAAGAATAGTAAGACATAAGAGACAGAACCCAAAGAGAGTAGTGACTGGTCTTTCAAAGCCCATATTACTCCCAAAACAAAGGGAGACAAGAAATAGAAAACAGGTGATGACTATGACCTCGGTCTTAAACCCTTTATAGACTAGAACATAAGATGCTTCATACAAGATGAAAAAAAGAAATAAAAGCATTTTCCATACAAAGAAACCTAACAGAGAAACATTGATGACAGTGACAAAAGTAAACACTATGACTTGTGTATATATCTTCCTGAACTCCACAACAGCTTGAAGGAAAAAGAACATCAGCACAAGGCCATAGAGTAGGCCAACTGCTGTAAATAGAATCCCAAAGACCTTTATTTGCCCTTTATAAGTTGTGCAGAATGTGATATAAGACCGTGACCACACATTAAAAAGAGCTTGATTCTCCTTGTTACTGTCTATGATATACGGGATCGTATACGTCTCGACTATCTTCTCAATATTGGGAAGTCGATATATAAAGAGACTCTTATCAAAGTTCCCATACACTTTACAGAGAAGACTATTAACAATCTTGTTTGTACTGAAAAACTGCTGCACGGTTTTAAGTCGTAACAGTAACTTAATTATATTGTAGAGCAAGAATACTACACCCTCTATTATACCCATCACAACAACCCAACTCATATTCCCAACGTCTTGATGAACAACTAGAAGACATATGAAATTCGACACAAAACAGATGAGTGCTACTATAGATACTACAAATTGAAGATACCACCCACGCTTCTCATTACTTCGTTGGTGGGGCAAGTCTTCCTCTCTTGAACTCTTTTGTGCTGCACTTTCTTCTTGAACGTCGTCTGATGTAACTTTTCCATTAAACTCAGAAAAAGTCGTGGTATCCACTTCACTCCCCTTTTCTTCAAGTTCAAAGGCTGTACGGGAAAGAACCTCTGTTATTCGAACATCCATGCTTTTTTAAGTTCTTCGTCCACTTATGGAAGACGTCTCCTGTGTTCAATGTAATTTATATGGTTTAATTTACTAGTAATGTATAATAAATGGTTGGTTACAAGATTTTGATTTTTTCTCATTACAAATGCCTTTCACAAAAACAATAATTTATAGTTAACATCTTAATTAAATAATTCTATTTTTTTGGTTTGTTGATTTCAATTGACGACAAATAAAAAAAATCTAAAAAGTAGGTGTTTAGAGTAATTCAAAAAAATCCATACTTTTAATTAAATTGAATTAACTATATAATTTCAATTCGACTAATAAAACATTAGATACTTTATTTATAATTGAGTACTTACCAATATATTATTGCTTATTAGTAAGTTATAGTAATATTTAATTAATTATTAATAATATTACTATTTAATAACCACGCAAATAACTTGTTGAATAAATTCACTTAGAATAAATCGCTTCCCATATCACTTATATCATACGACTCATCATTTTCTTCATTTGGTGAGAAATTGCCGCCATTATTATCATCTGTGTCTGTCATTCCGCTTCCGCTTCCACTTCCACTATCAAAAAACAAAGGAGACCCCGAGTCAGTGAAGTCCAGTAATGTTCGTTCTTCATTTGGGTCGAAGAATGAAAGTGTCGTCTTAGGGTCTTTGATATTCAACTTCTCTTCTTCATTTCGCATCTCTTGATCTTTTAAAAGGTAAGCGTCATAAACAAATGGTTCTGCTCCAAAGTTGACTTTAAAACTTTTAGTTTTCTTCATCGAGACGGCTGGGAAGAATGACTCTTGTGTCACTTTAATCGAGGGGAGGACTTTTCCATTCAACGTAAAAAAGACTTCCTTCCGTTTGACATCAAACCCACAGCCAACAGTATCTCCCTCTCCATATCCGGTGTGGTAATTCTTTCCAGAACCACTATTATAAAACAAATTGCCATCATCAGAGTGATATCCAAGGGCGTCTTTATCCCATCCGACCATACGATTCTAATCATTAATAATGAATAATAAATATTTATTAAGTATTTATTATATTATATATATTATAATTATATTATATTATTATTATATTTATATTTTAATTAATATTATTATAATAATATTATATTTATTATATTCGATCGAAGTTAACAAACTTTGGGATAAGACTGAGGAGCTAACCCAATACCAAAGACATACTGCACCGACGGCTCGATCTTGTCGAATGTGACTTCAAAGTAAAACACATTTCTAGAGATGATTATAGTCTCACCTTCATAGTTGACAAAAGCACCATAATTCGGACCTGGTCCAAAAGGGTGTCTCGCTACATGTGTATAATTTTCCATCTCATTCATAGTCAATGGACTGAACCAGAGAGCATTTCTTACTAGGGACTTGTTGTCTGTCGTGTTTGGGATGATCGTTTGTGGAGCTTCGAGGTAGATCATTTTTGGAATGAGGAATTTGAACCCACGGTTTTGAAGACGTTTCTCCACTATCACTTTCTCAATCCCAAGAATTTTTTTTAATCGGAGATATAACGTTCGGTCGTTTATCGAGTTCGGGTAAGCTAAGAGCAAATTGTTGAAATCTTGATTTGTCAAATTCAAAAAAATCGCCTCTAGAATTGGCTCGGGAAGAGAGAATAATTTAAACCTCTCACTCATTCGTGTGATTTTTGAGTTTGAGTTTTTGTTCATATGTAAATAAAGAAAGGCATTGGAAAGTTTTAGAGGCATTTAATTTGATGTAATTTAATTTATTAATATAATATACTATAATTTTTGATATGATCAAGTTTTTGATCGTCGATATAACCGAATTAACTTGAGTTTTTATAACTTAGTTTTGTTGTGTATTTGATTAATATCATATAATTAAAAATATTATTATATTCATTGATTAAAGAGAAAGGACGGACATGGGGACGAAGGACGGGAATATAGGCCGAAAGACGTCCTTTGTGGTTTAGGGACGTCCTCCCGCTATAAAGGACGTCCTCCTGTGTATATGGTGTCCTTTCTATTATTTTCGTGTCCGCGGCATTTTTAAAACTATATAATGAGTTATAATATTACTATGAATTTACTATTATAAAATATAATTATTTCCAAAAATAAATAAATTCAAAGACAAATTTTAAACAACAAGTAATTTCGTTATAAATTAATGGTTTTTATAAAAAATGCAAATTTAATTAGTTTTTCAAAGAAAACTCAATGGTAAAATGAAAAAAAAGTGATAAATTTTTATAAACCATTAATATATAACAAAATTACTTTTTAAATAGTTTTTGTCTTTGAATTAATTTATTTTTGGAAATAATTATATTTTTTGATTGTATATTTATAATAAAAATATACTTTGTTATATAGTTTCGATAATGAATAAAAAATGCCGCGGACACGAAAATAATAGAAAGGACACCATATACACATAAAGGACGTCCTTTATAGCGGGAGGACGTCCCTAAACCACAAAGGACGTCTTTCGGCCTATATTCCCGTCCTTCGTCCCCATGTCCGTCCTTTCTCTTAACAATATATTAATTTAATAATTAATGAAATACTCCAAAAAATGGAACTTAAATATTAACTATTGAAATTAATCAGTTCGCAATCTTGTTGGAATGAATGAACATTTGAGAATGGAAAAATGAAGAAAATAAACATGGCAACAGAAGGACCAATGAAAACATGTGACGACGATACAAAACTGTTGGGCGAACTAAGCACGGTATGGAAAAGGCTGGACAATCTCGAATTAGAACAAGAAACCCTCCTTCTCCAGGTTGATAGAGAAGCAAGACTTTTATTTTGTGTGAAAACAGAACTCGAGAATTTTGTTGAAAAAAAGAAGAACGAAGATAGGCTTATCCGCGATGCTGTACCAATTCCTGTTGTTAAAAAGAACGAGGAAACAAAAACGAAAGAAAAACAGATCGAAAGTCCCCCTCCGAAGGAGCATCCATGGGTTTAATGTGTTTTGAAGACTATTTATTTGAGTTGCGTTTGAAACACTTTAATTTGCGTGACTAGTTACAGCGACTAGTAACGCAACAATTACTGTAATCATTTTTTAATTTTTTTAGTTATGTTTAATTATTGTGATATTTTGAAATTATAATAAAAACGAAACATCTTTCTTTTTATTATACATATATACAGTAGGGAAAATGAACCTTAGCCCGGGAAATGTACTTTAGCCCAAAGAAATTCCTATTTTTTTCTTTAAAAACACGGGTTTTTACTAAAAAAACAAATATTTCAAAAAATTGACTTTTATATCGGTATAGTTTAGTATTTTAATATAACAATAGAAAATAATTAGTTTTTCTTTGGGCTAAGGTTAATTTGCTGGGCGAAGGTTCAATAGCCCAACTATATACATATACAAAGTTTTGAACAACCCAAATACTTCAAAATACGACTTAAATACCAGAACTTACTGACTATAATTATAGAAATTCTCTAAAATAAAAGTTTGAAATGTTGTTTATTACCAAAATAACTATAAAAGAACTATAACTTATAATTATAATTCACACCAAATCAAATTGATTGTTGGACATCTCATTCTGACCTCCGGACCGCATTAAAACTATTTATGAAATAAAAACAAATTAATAATAAAGTTCTAGAGGATGTACTAAGTGACTGGACAAGTAAAAACAATAAAAATAGAATTCTACCCAATAAAAGTGAATACAGAACTTCCCATATACACATGATACATTCAATGAATATGATATCTAACACAAATAATTCTCAAGAACACATTTCAAAGAGTATCTCATCCCAATCTCCTCTTTCAATTGTATCGAGTTGGGTTGGTCACACAAGAGCTCTTCGTGTTTTCGACTCAGAACATGATGAATTGAACTCTGAAGCACTTTGGAACAAAATCAAAGGACGTAGAAATCTGATGTTTGTTGTTGTGACAACAGAAGGTAATGTCTTTGGCTCTTATCATAGCATTATTCCTCACTCACAAGGGAGTTGGGTATCTTCTGATGATGACCAGTTCATATTTACTCTCAGAAATTCATCTGGTACACCTCCGACTATTTTCAGACCAAAGCAGATGACTCATCGACTCCTTCACATCTCAAAGAGTACAACAAAGAAGAAATTGGTATGGATATCGGACGCTTTTAAAATACAAAATGACGACAAATCATATATCAGCAGTTCGTTTTCAAGGTTTTATAACGACGAAAAAGACTTGGGTCCTTCCATATTCACCAATTTGGTGTATCCTAATACCTTCTCTTTCTCCTCTTTCTTCGTTCTCCATTGGTTCTAACTCTTTAGTATAGTTTATTATAGCTTAATTTATTCTTTACAGTCTATTTATAATTTACTATGATATATAGATTAATTATATTATATCATTAATTATTTTGTAAAAACTAGATATATATTATAAGCAAACTAATACAAAACTAGAAATATCATTTGATAATAATTACAGTCTGTGGGTGTTGTAACATGTCCAATTCACTTTCAGAATCGGAGGAACTGGTCAACTCACTTTCTTGGGCCAATTTGGATATCTTTTCTTTGTAATAAATGGCGATTAAACATAGTACAAATAATAAATAGAACGAGAAATCACCAACACTAAACTCACTTGTCACTTTCTCGATCACAAAATCTGAAAAAGATTTTGAAATAACAATTTCAATCACCCAAATCACACCAAGGGAAACTACTTTGGCTAAGTTATAATAATAACCGCCTGTTAACTCTAAGACAACAATTTCGACACACTGTGTCACCCAAACCACTGCGGCAAATAAAACAAATTGTGGCAAATTTATAGTATATTTACTATAAAGTGTTGTCAAATCACCAAATCTCTGGATTGGAAGATTGGAGATATAGAGAATTGAACAGAAAGAAAGACCATATAAGCCTTTAAGTCCAACGAGAAAAATAGGAGGAAAATCCACCTCAACAAGCAACACCCCCTCTATCTCATCACCGATGGTGTCGAGTATGGCTGCGGTCATAATGAAGAAAATAGCCAAGAAAAAGAGTGGATACACCAACGACAAATGTGGATTCTGAGAAACAGCCAAAAAAGGCGGAGCACTCGAGGAGCACACTAATAAGAAGAAAAGCACACACATCATTGATAATATAAATTTGTGAGACACTTTGTTGTCGTGATAATAAAACACACCAGACATCGTCGTTGAAACGAAATAAAATAGCGGCAAAAATGCCGAGTGAAGTGGAACAAAAACAACTGAAAGCGAATACAAAGAAAATAGCTGCGCTACCGTCGGAAAAATAACCAGCAAAACACGTTTTGCCAATTCAGTTTTCGTCGTAGCTGGAATAGAAACAACTTCTGGGTGTAACGTATCATTTTCTTGTTGAAGAGCTTTGCTACAGCGCACCCCAAAGTGTGTAGGCTTACCTTTAATCTTCAATATTAGAACAGATAGTAAATACAATGGAAGCCACAAAAACATCCCAACTGAACAAAGAAAAGTAACACATATTGGAAATTGGAAATTGAGCTGAAGAACATTTTTTGTAGTTGTGGAGTGTGTCATAAATGCTTCGATAAGCACAAACTCTGCGCTATGAAACAATAAAAACATGATGACAACAAGAATCTTGTCAAGTTGCGAACACAACAAATCGCGTGTTATTCTCACGCACCTCCAGGAGGGCATTAAGTCAAATCCAGTTGTTCAGTTTTAATTGTATCGCCCACATTTTTGTTTTGCTATGTTCTTTAGTTTTGGTTTTTGATATAAATTCTATAATATGCGTTCCCTATTTTGTTAAAAAAAATAAACTATATCGGAATAAAAATAAAATAAAAGTAACTTTTATTTCAAATTAAAACAAACAAATGCGTTGAGTTAATTCCGCTATAATTTGTCACTGAAATTCTTATGGTTTTTTAATGCAGTTTATAAACTATATACAAACCTATATATTTAGTTTCATTTTATTCTATTGATTTTTCATTTTGTGGTTCTTCTTTACACAAATTAGTAACTTAAAAAGCAAACATCAAACGATGGAAGAGAAGAAACGGGCGTATTACTGTGACTTGTGTGGATGTCCGTTGTTCATTCAAATTGATTTATTAGACTCCCAACTCCAAATACCCATCGCACGACAACCGTTTTACTCTCTTTCGACTTCTTTGTCGATGACTCCACTCTTCGACGACGACACCAACGAAGACTTTTCAAATCTCATCTTCTGCACGCCGACACACGTCTCTCAAACTCCTCCAACGCGAAGAAGATCGCACAAGTCGAAGCAAACAACGAAAAAAATCAAATTTGATGAGGGCGCACTTTTCTATCCCAATTTACCGGAAATTGTGAAGCCGTTATCTCCAGTCACCCATTCGGAAACACAGACGACGCCTTCTGTCCCAAGTTACTCTCCTTTTTACTCTCTGAAAACTATTGGAAGGTCGCGACTTGGATCGAACGAAGAAAAGATAGATAAGGGAATACGAATACCACTGTATCTCCCTTCACAAGTCGACCCAATCATAAACTGTTGTGAAGAAATTGGATTAGAATTTCCACTGTGTAGCCAGTGCTACCAAATCATCGAGTCTGCTCTTTCAAACGAACTCTCCGAGTTGTCTTCTTCATTCCGAAAAGAGCGAATATTGCAACTGGAGTTGATACAATTTTCAATTGAACAAACGACGCTGGAGCAGACGGAAAAAGAGGAGGAGGATATCAGAATGTTGTCGAATGAAGTTGATACCCTTGTGGAAGATAACAGAACGCTTTTGGAACAACAGAGGATCATTGTTCAGTGCACCGACATTATCGACAAAATAGCAACAAATGTGTTCTATTGTTTGGAAAAGGAAATCTCGTTGTACGTCGAAACGCTGAACCAATTCAACGACTTCAACAACAAAGTCCACGCCAATGAATTAGAACGATTGGAATTGTCGAATCCGATAGAAAGAATATTCAACTTTGAATGGCTTGAAAATGATGTGGCGCTCAATGGAATACCGATCGTTCAGACGTTTAAAAGCGTTTGTTGCTATTATTATTCAAACGAAATAATATCATCGAAAAGAAGACTTACACCAAGCGCAACGAAATGAATTTCAATTTAATTATATCGTGCTTCAAAAAGATGTCCACATTTGTGTATGAGCATCTTGGGATATTTGCAATGATCCCACAATTCAACGTGAAAAGGCCCGACGACTTCATTACTTTTTTATTGGACTTCCTTCAGAAAACTGTGACTCGGATCACATACTTTGATCGACAAATAGCTATTCCATATACCCCATGAGGA